TCTCATTCAAGTTTAAAAAGAAACAGTGCAGTGTGAATTTCCGTTTCGGGACGTCAGTTCCACTCTGGCCCTATCAGATTCGCAAGGCCCGGTCCTCATGACCGTCCCTGCACTGCTGGGTGTACTTCAACATACACTGGACTGGTGTGCTGGAGGCATATAGGACATTGATTAGTAAGTCAATGAAGAGGCAGCATAAATTAAATCCCCTGATGAAAACCACCAGGGATGACCGAAGTCCCCGTTCTCTGGCTGATTCGTACTTTCTAAGTCACAGAAGAAGGAAATGGGCAAAAGAATAGCAAATAAAAGATTTCTCAAAATTGGAATAGGAAGGGATCTAGGGGCAGAGGAAATAACCGGGGAGGCAAAAACAACAACTAAAAAACCCAAACCAGGACCCAGAAAATGAAACAAACAAACAAACGCTAAAAACAGCCCTCACAAAAGCAAGTAAGAAGTCAGTCAAATCCTGGCATTGTGAATATCGGCCAGTTGCAAAATGCTGGCATTTGAATTTCAGTCCTTAAGAGACAAGCATATCACAGCTGTTCATCTTCCTATTCTTGAGCACAATCTCAAGGAGATCTTTGATAGACGCATTCTGTTCATTACACTGACTTGTAAAGGCTGTCTCTAGGGGAGGTTTTAATCAAAAGCCACAGCCTGAAATTTAACAGGGATTATTCACAAGATGAACTAGTGACATCATGCTTATTCAGCTTCCACACATATATTCACTTGACACGTCTGTTAATTTTTAAAATAGAAAACGGAGTCAGTTGTGGCATTTTTATTGTATTGTCAGACGGAGGTTATGGGTATTTAAGAAAGGGCAGAACGGAACACATTGAAATCCTAAACCAAAGCACCCCATCAAGTCAGTTCTGACTCACAATTCTATAGAGCAGCGTGGCATTGCTCCCTGGGATTCCTGAGACTGAATCTTTACAGGAGCAGACAGCCTCATCCTTCTCCGTGAAAGCCTGCTGGGCTTGACAACCCAATATGGAACCTCTTATGCCACCCAAATAAAAACCAAACCACTGTCACCGAGTTGCTTCCAATTCTTCGATCTCTCTCCCTCAGAGTGGTTTGAGACTTCAAACCACAAACCTTGCAGTTAGCAGCCCAAGGCATAACCACTATTCCACCAGGGCTGCCTTACTATGCCACCAAAGCTCCTTAAATAAAAGGATTCAAAATTAAGATTGACATAAACAATGCTGGCACAGGACTGCTTTCATTGGGCTCCACTCACTCGGAGCTCATTTGCCTAGAGGATTGCTCATGGAGTGTTGCTATACTGAGAACATACAAAGAAGCCAGTCCTTGGCACCCACTTCATTAGTGTGCCATTCTAGGGCAATCCCACCCACAGGGAAGGCCAAAATTAGCTGGCAGACAGCCACCTCCTTCCAGCATTGTGCGTGCCAGTCTGCAGGGAGTCAGTGGCAGCTGCAGGCAAAAGGAATCCTCTTACATTTGCTAGACCATTCATGCATATGGGTGAGTGTGGCTCAAGGGGCCAACACCCATCTAGATCACATGTCATCTAACTCTGATCTCTCCATCTGAAGGAACCGAAGCATGTGGCATAAAATGGATCCACCTCCTCTCTAGGGTGTGTGGTCTCTTGAAGATGTCGGCGATAACCAAGATTAGAAATTCGAATGACGCTCAAACTCCAAAGCCACCCTGGTTGCTATTTTGAGTTGCCTCTGCTTTACCTGATGAGAACGGCTGTCTGGTGTTGATAGTACCGTTCCCTTGTAGACAAGCACTTACTAGGCAATTTACTAAAAAACTCACGTGATTTCTATTAACCTTCTTCAAACATGTCAAGCTGTCCACCATTACAGCCCAAAACAACCCCAGGGAAGCACACGCCCAGCGGTTCCTACTACGCCTACATTTCACCCAGTATTAGGATTGAGTTGGGTTGGGAGCCGGTGAGCACCCTTCACTCCTTCTGTTTGCAGGTGACTTCCATTTTCTCCTTCCGGAGGAAAGCCAAGAAAGCCAGGGGGCCACATGTCCCTCATTGCTAAGCCAGGCTGCAGGAGTCTGCTGACGGCAGGCAGACAACCAGCTCTGGCGGAGGCTCTTTTATGAATCGCTGCCTTTTGTGCTTTCAGTGCTTACTTAGTAAGAACTCAGCCCAGCTTTCTCCATCCCAGGGACCGTGGTCTTCACTTCCCCAGAACACCTTGCTGCTCCTGTTACCCTCCGCTGCACTCGTTTGCTTGTGGGACCCTATGGGGAAGCCCTGGGGGCACAATGGCTCAGGGCTCAGCTGCCAGCCCCCAAAGAAACAAAAAGCAGTCTACTTCTGTAAAGATGTACGGCTTGGGAAACCCATTCGTGAAGTTCCATTCTGTGTTAATAATGGGTCGCTATGAATAGGAATCAATTCATCACAGTGGGTTCGATTTTTTGGAATAAAAGAATACCATTGCCCGGGTGGAAAAATATTTTAGTGCTTGGCTGCTAACTAAAAGGTTGGTAGTTCAAATCTACCAGCTTCTCCACAGGAGAAAAATGTTAGCAACCTGCTCCTATAAAGATTATAGCTCATGAAACACTAAGGGACAATTCTACTCTGTTCTTTAGAAATTGGCTCACTGACATGATAATGTTTACAGGAGAAAATGACTCTTCAAAAAACCATTTTCTCTTTTTATTATGATCAGATTTAGATGAAATATGGGACTTGCCATCAACAAAATTACAAAACAATTCCACTGGGAGCCCAGACCATCCAGAGTAATCCATCGACAAAAAAGCTAACTTAAATTGTTACTCTTGGCAGCAATTTAAGAGAAGAGTGAAATCTTATACTAAATATTGCCACGTGCAACAGTAAAATACTATTTTCTTCTTGCCAGAATCTGTGTACAGCCCCCTTCAGACTCAGGTTTGCAGCTGGTGATTTAGTCTAAATCCTGTCTCCCCCTCTCCAAAACCAACAGAGGTTTTCAAAAGAAGTGCATTTTTATTGGAACCACTTGCTCTTTTTAACTTGCCAAAAAGGAATTAAGTACAACTAAGACTTTTATTTGGGTTAGAGTTGATTTCTTAGCTTCACGGAGGTCAATGTGCTTAGTCTGTGACCCCTCTAGTAAGAAGTTCACTGCCGAGTCGAACAACTCAAGGTCCCTTACTTCCTCCTTCAGTGTCATGAATGTATCAAGTAGGATTTGGGAGCATGTGGAACTAACCAGAATGAAACACACATATGGAAAATTACATCGTGGACTTTTTGGAATAAGTGCAACTTCAAATATTTTTTATGCCACCCATACATTTGCAATTAGGGGATCAAGTGACTTGATTTGAAGGTCGTAAATATGAACCCACCAGGCATCCACAACTATTTGGGTGAAAAATCCACAGGGCACTGCTACACTATATAGTATAAAAGCATGCAAAATCTGGTAAATCTTAAAAGCAGAGGGGATTTTTCTTTCTCTGATAGTTGAATAGTCCTTAGTGAAGATGTTTAGCAAATAACTCTTTTATGGGTTTTGAGTTCCCTGGGATATTTATAGGGTTTGGCTTAGCACAAATCTATATTCAGTTACTTGAAAATAATTTTTTAAGTAGGCATTTCCTACATAAATATTTGCATACATCAAATGAAATTCATTAAAGACATATTGAGATCATGTGTAACATATCCTGCGTAGATAATATTATTGAACTTCCAAGACACTAATTCTGGGGAAGATCCACACAATAGCGACAAGAGTAAAAACACACACACCCCCCCCCACCCCACACAGAGAGAATTCAATGCCACAGAGTAGATTTCAGTTGTCTAGGGCAACACTCCTACAGACAAAATAGAAATGCCCTTGTAGGTTTCCAAGGCTGTAAATCTTCTCCCTCAGAGTGGCCAGTGGGTTTGATCCTCCAACTATGCGGTTAGCAGCTCAACTTATAACCAGCTATGCCACCAGGCCTCTATGGAGGAAATCAAGGCCTAGAGAAATTAAATGGCTTGCCCAGTATGATCAATCAAGTTGTAGGGGACTGGGAATTAGGGCTTCAATTCCCAAGCAGATATTCTTTCTGTTACGGAACATGCTTTCCCCTCTCATGTTGTGGTTGTACATGCTATCCATTGGGATACATTATGCTACCCAAAATAGTTGAGAGTGAATTGAAATCTGCAGATATGACAAAAAGTTGTATTTTTTTGCAACCTAAGATAGCGCACTTCAACTTGGATCATCTGCAACTTGGGATTAAACATTAAGACTTTTGTTGTATAGAATTATTTTCTTTTTAACATATATAATCTATAATAAATAAAACCACGACTTGTCAGACAGCTTGAGGGAGCTACAATCTGTAGCAGTCATGGAAGAATGGAAAAATATTCAGCATTATCTAGTGGCTATATATCATAATTATATACAATGACCATAAATGATAACGCTTCATAGAAATCTGTACGTATCTTAGCGTGACTTTCTCCCTTTTGGGGGCGGGGGATAAAGTAGTCTGTCTTAGAACTATGCCTATTTGGTTCTGTTTGTGGATGTTAACAACCCTAAAAACAAACAAAATTTACAAAAGTAAAGTAAATCAGGCTATCAACTAATTATATGACACTTTAGTGAACAAGATATATTTGTGATTATTTAAGAGGGAGCACTTATTATAAAAGGCAAGGCATTTCAAAACACATTGTTACAAATACCACTCAAATAATCAATGACAGTAAGCAATTGTCTCATAGGCCATTGATACTTGGAAGAGTTAGCTGATCTTTTAAAATATTGACCTATGACACGGGTAGCTAAGGAGATCTGCCTCAGATGTATGTTTTTGATTTACTTAAAGAAGTTAATCTGCCTTTAATTTAACAGAAAGGTCAAGCTCTCGATTGGTCAACATAAAATTTAAAGTCTCTTTTGAGGGTTCTCCATGTAAATGGAGGAAAAATTAAAAAATCTGCTTTGCCTGTGACAGAATATGAAAGAAATTCTCACCCTTAAAACCCGCAGCATTGGTTTTCCAGTCATTAGCGTTCAAATGTCCTGCACGGGAAGTCCTGACAATAACATGCTGCACATCTCGCCAGGTCAGAAACGGACTGGGGAAAGACAAGGTAAGAATCATTGTACCAAAAAAAAGGAAAAAGGAAAAAAGTATATGGGGGAAGCAGAGAGTCACAAGCAATTAAAAAAGCAAAATCAAAATGGCGAAGTCTTAAAAGTGAAGGGTCAGGGAGTTGGGCTTTGAAGGACAGTCTGACAACTGCCCGCCTGGTTCTCAGTGTGCAGAGGGGACATTAGGCTGGGGGAGCCAGCAGACCTCAGCGTACATTTCAGAAATCAGAGTGAATTCTTCCCCGTAACCATGCCTTTGAAAAGGCCGGGGTGTCCAGGTTCCTCAAACTGCCGCCCCTTGTGGCATCGTCCCCCTGTACACAGGTTCGCACTGGCACTGGAGAAGCACTAAGTTAAGGCACAATGGAAACCCTCTGGAATGCGTCTTGTTCGTTTGCAGAGCTCAGGTCCTTGGCTTGCAATTTACCAAGGAACTTAGCAAGATTCAGCCTTCTACCTATTTGGGATCTGAAAAATTAAAAAGCTTCCCTTTGAAACAACTCCAATTTCAGGGTTGCTACAGTCGGAGGATATGGCATTGACAGCCGTAGTGCTGGGCTCTAAGGCAGACACAGGTATGACAAGGAGTTGTATTTAAGGAGGCGGGGTGGCGAAAGGGTTGAGTGCTCAACTGCTAACTGAAAGGTTGGTTGTTCAAACTCACCCGATGGCTCAACTGGAAGAAATGCCTGACCATCTGCTCCCATCAAGATTACAACCTAGGAAACCCAGTAGGGCAGTTCTACTGGTCACACGGGGCTGCCTTGGGAACCAACCTGATGGCACAAAACCACCACCAAGGGATTGAGGAAGAGTCCTGAAGGGGTGAGGGCAGTTGAAGCCTCAGTTAGTAATGAAAGGTTGGTAGCTAGAACCCACCCAGTGGTGCCTGCACAGAAGGGCCTCTCAATCTGCTTCCAAACGATCACAGCCCTTGACAATCCTATAGAGCAGTGGATCGCAACCTTCCTCATGCTGTGGCCCTTTCATACAGCTCATGTTGTGGTGACCCCCAACCATCGCATTATTTTCATTGCTACTTCACAGCTGTCATTTTACTATGGTTGTGAATCGGGCGACCCCTGTGAAAGGGTCGTTCGACCCCCAAAGGGGTCGTGCCCCACAGGTTGAGAACTGCTGCGATGAGAGCACGATTCTACGGGGATACTCATGTGGTCACATGTCGGGCGGGAGTGAGTTCAGGCTGACCGCAAGGTAGCGGCTTTGGTAACCGTTCTGGCGGCTGTTAGCAATGAGCAGTCCAAAGAAGCTATTGAAACGGAGACACAATCATCACGGCTGCCATGCCAATGAAAACCTACAGAAACTCAGTCCACACACATCCTCAGACTTTTCAGGAAAAAACGCTGACATCGTCAAGGATTTCATTTTCATGTGGCTCCACAATAAACGCTCATGGGAGCAGAAATCAAAACATCAAATGAAACATTACATGGAGCACATATTCTGTAAAGGCCTCTGTCAGGTATAAATCATTGAAGACTAAAGTGTGCCTGACTCAAACCAATGGTATTTTCAGTTGCCTCCTAAGATTGTGAAAACTGGACAAGGAATAAAGGAGCCGAAAGAAGCATTTCTGCATCTGCATTACGGTGTGGGCAAAGACTAACGCTGTTGTGGATTGCCAGGTGAGCAAACGATTCTGCCTGACGAGTCCAACCAGCTACTGGGAGTGTCACTTTAGAAAAGGGCATCAGGCTTGGTGCAGGGTCAAAGAGGAAGACTTAGCAGAATTGACACTGCAGACAGCAACGGCTCGGATATAGGAATGGTGGGGAGACTGAGGCAGGGATGAGTGTTTCTCTGGTTGTACACAGGGTCTCGGTGAGTCGGAACTGACTCACAGCGCCTTTCACCAGCAAATAACATACAAATAGACTTATGTATTTCTCTCTCTCTTTACGCTGCACGGTATTTTGTTCTAGTGTACTTAGGGTGGAAAAGGATCCAATGCTCTCTGACAACAGAACATATGTGTGTGTTGCTGCTATATATAACAGACTATATATATTATATATACACATACACATATATATTTCACATTCAACTCTGAATTTAATACATATCTTGATTTTGAACTTAGTGCACTCCATTGAGGTATATGCCTTTCAGTATGCGTACATGTCTCACTGAGAGTGAATGAAATTAGAAATCAGGATAGTTATTCAGTTCAGAATTGAATGTGAAGTGTGACATTTATAATTAAGTAGGAAGTCTGGCGTGCCTTGAGGTATAATAGGCACATGTGGTGGTCTCTGGGTACTTCTGTGGATGCAAAGGAGTAGGCACTGGGATTTCCCAAGCACAGGGAGAATCTACTATCTTGGTGGTTGCTAATTTGTATATTTATTTTAAGGCTGTTGTTTTGAGAGATTAGATAGAAAATCACATATCAATTCTTAATTTCTACACGCACAATTTAATGACATTGATAACAGTGTTCAACCAGTCTCACCCTACTTTCCTGAGTTGCTTTTTCCCTCATTAACTTAAACTCACCACCCTCTGTGGTTCTTATCTAATCTTTTGAGTATTTTGGTCAATTTGGTCCCATATAGATAATTCTTAAGTATAATGCTTTAAGAAGCTTTAAGAAGACATCAGAAAACATTTTTTGGCTTAAGGGTTAAAAATTATCTCAGGGCCAAGAGTTTCATGGCTCCATCCATCCTCCATGATTTGATAAAGTCTAGAGGCCATAAACATTTGAACTTCTCGTTTGCATTTCCCCACTTTGATCAGGAATCTTCGTGAAAGTCCTGCGTGAAAATGTCCAGTAGTGGTAACAGGGCACCGTCCAGTTCTTCTGGTCTCATGGCAGAGGAGGCAGCTGTTGAAGGAGGCAATTAGCGACACACTCCATATCTTCTTACTCCTGACGCTCCTTCCTCTGCGGTCCCAGGTGACTTGACACCAGCTGATGTGCCTTGGCTGGCACCCGTTTAGAACTACAGCACTGTGCAGCCAACTAAGAAGCAGAACAGGAGTATGCACCACGCTCCAAAGTCAAGAAACTGGGTGCCCCATGAAAGCAATACTCAGAACCACCGTGCTAAGAAACCAGCCCCAGCCAGCCCCAGCCAGCCCCAGCAGCTGCTCTGGTTGTTTTCAGGTGGGACTTCTGAAACTAGATCGATCACACCAAACGTCTGCCAAATTCAGCTTTTTACAGCTGTACTACTTATTGACAGCAATTACAACAATCAGGGGCACCAACCAACTTTAAGCAATGTGATTTTTTCATCACCATTATCAACCCCTTTTCCCATCCTTTCGGATGACCAATAATAATTTCTTATCTTTAGACATTTGTCTTTTTATATATAAGGATAAGTTAAAAATTATTGCCAGTAGAGCTACAGTTCACACTGGCATGAATTTATCCCCCAGATAAAATGTGCTTCAACATGTCCCTGCCATGAGGCTACAGGCAAGTTATCTCAGTCATACACAGTCTCAGTCCAGTTCGGTTGCTTGGGGGGCGGGTGAAGGTGGGGTGGGGGTTCAATCAAACAGTGGCTTCTGAGGGGATCTGCTGGTCAGTAAAATTCAAGGCAGAAAGGTTAGTTAATTCAGAAGACCCGGTAACTACTTTTTCTTTCATTTTTATTTCAAAGAAGTAATCTTGACAGATTTTTCTAGGAGGACAGAAGATGATCATGGGAGATTATCAGGAAGAAATTTAAAGAAAATTGTAGGCTGCATTCAGAAGAAGAGGGACATAAAGAATTTTTCCCCTTTCACAACAATGCACCAGCTCATTCTTTGTGGGCATCAAAGGTGGTCATATGAGCGTTCACTGGGAAAATGTATCTCATGCACCCCACAGCTCTGCGCGTGCCTCTACAGACTACTTAGTGTTCCGAAAATGTAAAGCTTATTGAAAAAAGGAAGAGGATTTTGTGTTACAGTGTGCAGTGTGGATGTGATGTACAGACTGCAGAATTCATAGAGGAAGGGGTAGAGACAGAAACAGTCTTCAGAAGCGTGTGGACGATATGGCAAGAGATAACAGTCTCACATTTTGATATTTTTGTTTAATAAAGTTATGTAGTATGATTTTGTAGCAATACTTTTTGCCTTGTGCCCATGAGCTCATACATTTATTCCTTTGTAAATGGTTTCACACAGTACCATGTTTGCAAGCTCGAAACATATAGTCACATGAATCAAGATTTCCCTTCTGCTGTTCCATGGAATGTATGTAACAGCGTGTGTTTATCCACTCTTCTCCAGATGGGCTTTTAGGTTGTTGCCATCTTTTGGCGATTGTGAACAGTGCTGCATTGAACTTTGTGACAAGTCTCCTCAAGTCTTGGGGAAACAGACCTGAGAGTGAGAGTGCTGGTTTATATGGTCATTCTATTTTCAGTTTCTTTCTTCTTTCTGAAGAATCACCATTGTTTTCTAGAGGTACTATTCCATTTGCATTCCAACCTGGAATAGGTTGGAATACATAGGCATTCTGAATTTTTCCAAATCCTTGACAATATTCTTGGTCAGCCCAACTCGTAACCACTATGTCACCATGGCTGCTAGTGAGAGGACAATGGCATCAAAATTATATCCTTGTGATTCTGATTTGCATCTCTCTGATGGCTAACGATGCCATATTTTCATATGTTTGGTGGCCAATTGAGTGTTCTTTTTGTTGAAATGTCTCAGTCCATTGCCCATTTTATTATTGTCTTAGTGTCATGAAGTGTCATCAAACTTGTCAAAGTTTGATATATAAATTGATGATTAAATTCTAGGTTACAATTAATACTTAATGATGTAGCTTCACTTTCTACTACATTTTTATCACCGCAATCACAACCTATGTGTTTTCTGAGGGTGCCCACTCAATAATAATTCACAACTGAAACCAACAGGTAATTGACAATTAGACCAATAGATAGCATAATAATAGAGAAAAGACTAAAGTTGTCAAGGATTTAATCTTGCTTAAATTCACAGTCAA